ATTTCCCCTCCCCTCCTACCCAAATTTCTCAACCAAACAAGATAAAAGTAAAAAAATCTCTCCCTTCACCTCTCCTCCCCTACTTTTTCCCCCAACCAAACACTACCTCAAGTGTTTCCCTAACTAGGTTCTTTGCTTCAGTGGCTACTCTCTCTATTTTACAGGTTTGCTTAGATAAGTTAGCTAAAAGTTCCAGTATTTTTACTGTCTTTTAGTTAGGTTATCTTGGCTTGTGTTTGTTTAGTTCCTTTATGTGGAACTCCCGATTTGTTTGTGGTTATTTGGCCTCTCGGATTCTTTACATTCTCAGTTTATTTATATCTATCGTTGCTTTAGAAAAAAAAAATATTTCCGTTTCGCCCCTTTTGTTGTTTATCGATTTGAAATATATACTAGTAAAAACTATTTTAGTCCATGTTATATTAGGCTAGACACGGATTAATCTTATTTTGACCAAAAATAAATTATATTTATTTAAATTAAATCAATGATTATATATTTGAAAAAGGTTTAAGTTTTCTTTTCACTTTTCCTTTTAGCTCATTATGTCGTTTTCTATCTTCTTTTTTTGTTTAGATTATTTTATTTAATTAAATAAAATTTATTTGAATAATTTTATTCGAGAAAATAATTACTTGTGTTAGACTTCTATAAGAACATTTAGTATGCAGTTAAATTTACTGATTTTTATAATTTAAATGGCATTTCAGTATATAAAAAATGTAATACCAAGTCTCATTTATTTATGAGGCATATTCAATGAACTAATATATGAACCTTAAATGACATGTCATACAACAAGAATAAAGTAATTACTATACCGCCTCATGGCGGCTTTTTATTAAATAAATTGTTTTTTTGAATACATTTGCATTACAAAAATAATAATTAATTAATTAAAAGTTATGATTTGTCATATGTATATAAGAGTAGTTAATAATTCACAAGTTTTTTTAGGATGTCCATATAATTTATTTTTATTTAACAAATACAAAATCCATATTTTAATATTATTTAATGTGTGATTCATATAATTTATATTAATACTTCAAAATTGTGCATCTGTATTTTAATATTATTTAATGCGAGATTCATGTAATTTTTATTAATACTTAAAAATTGTTTTCATATTTTCATTTTCTTATATATATGTCTAGCCAGATTATTCGAGTCAAGTACTTCATGTTTAAACTTGTGTACATTTAATAAACGAGTTTCCATGGCTTAACGCATTTAATAGACAAAAAGAAATGTGAGCCCGAGTTTGAATCGTTTCAACTCGGTTTGACTCATTCAAAAAACTTTTAAATCTAAACCAAAATCCAAAATTCTAATTGAATCGATCGTGAGCACGTTCAACTTGGTTGATAGAAAAACTCGATTAGTTGCTTGACTTTAGCTCGTTTAAATATATATGTGAGTCGAGTTAGACCTTTCACAAATCGAATCGAACTATCTTACCGATAGTGCAGTTAAATTAAACGAGTCTGGCTTGGCTCGTTAAGCCTTGAGTTCGGCTCAGCTTGTTTGATAAACGAGCCGATCTCGAGCTCGTTTGATAAAGGAGCCGAGCTCAAGCTCATTTAAAGTTTGTTAGATCGGCTCGGCTCGATAATGCTCATTCAGGCTCGAAAAGAGAATTTTTATATAATTTTCTATAGTTTGACTCGTTAATGCTCGGGATTGGCTCATTATGGCTCGAATTCGGGTCGTTATTGTTGATAAATGAGTCGAGCTCGAGTTCAAACTCATCTATTTAACCAGCCAAACTCAAGTTAGACTCGGCTTGTTTACACGCCTAGTTATCGGACATTCGCTTTGTCCGTTTTGCAGCTTAGGGTGAAAATAAATTTCGACTACGCCCCTGATCTCATAAGGCCATGTTAACAAGTACGTCCCCAGTATTCAAAGTTAACAGAAGTTTTGTTCTTTGGTGGATAAATTTTGGCAAATGCCCATACTAATTTAATTTGAGAAAAATTATTATTTAGTAACTCAATTCTGCCACGTTTTAGTTTTTAACGCATACTTTTTACTTGATAGTCAATTTCTTTTACACTTCAATATACATGCACTTTCTGCTACGCATTGTCTTAACAAAAAAAAGATTTCTCCCCACAACTCACGAAATTATATGCAATATAAAAATTGTCTATCCAATTGAATTGCTTAATTAACAATTATGTGATATTTTGTCGAATATGAACTAACGCATATCTAAATCAGACACATAGTTGACAATACGAAATACATTGGCAGATTTATTAATCGTGTAGTTTGATACGGGTATCCAAAGTACCCAGAATCGCACAAAGTTTAATTCAGCAGAAATTAAAGAAGATTCTAACAATTGCGGAAGCAGTAATACTTAAAATTGAACCTTCAGGAGAGCATCCCACTCTCCCTTCGGATCTCATTAATTAATGCAAACATCTCAACCATCATACAAGGATTTACAATGCAGACTCCCTCTACACTCTACTTGAACAATGATTCGCACAACTATTTATCCAACCACAAATTCCTTGTGGTTTTTATCGTTTGAATTCCTCAAACTGAAACAGAATGAACCTCCGTTCACTCTATGTTTTTTCCTCACAAAAGACTCCTCATTCTCGATCTCTGCACTCAATATAAATAAAAAAAATAATAATATTCAAAACCCAACAACTTCGTATATTCGTCTACTCAATAGAAACATAGATCAAAAGTCCTCCTCACTAAGCGTCTCGTCGTCCTTTTATCTTCAATCACATATGGTAAGTTTAGCACTAAACTTTGCCTCCTCGTCACATTCACTTATGGTAAGTCTTCTTTTGGAAGGTCCAAGTCCCGCGACCAGTCTCTTGCGCATAGTGAATCCCAATTGCCTTCCATTAGACCTGCTATAATAAAACACATATTACTATTAATCAATAAACTGAAGCAATTGAAAATTAGTCCAAGAATAAAAACAACTTCCTTTAAATAATCTTGAGTCGTCTAAACCTAGGAACTAATGAAGGTTCATCGATTTACTGCCAATCTTCAGAACTTACAATCTCCCCCTTTAGCAGATAAATCGAAAACTCCTCTCAAGAACCTACATTAACAAACACCGTGCATGCATACATAATGTACTATACTAGAATATGCAGATAAGCGGTTGTTCATTTGAACAACAAGAACCTGAACAATAAAACCATTAGAGAACAGTTCATAACATACAATCCTAAACAACCATCAAAACAGAACAAAATAAAAAATAGTTCACACAACCACAAAACATAGCAAATAGTTTTTAGTTAAGCAAAACACAAAACAAGCCAAATGTCAACCCACAAGTCTAAGCAGACCCGTCATCATCCTCAGTCTCCTCATTACCATCAGAACCTTCATTAGAGCCATCTTAAGTGTCCGCTTCTGAACCAGCCTCTTCCTCCTCAACCTCATTTGTTTCCTCCTCAGCCTCATTTGTTTCCTCCTCTTCTTCTTCAAGCTCTTCCTCTTCTTCAGACTCAACCTTCTTCTTTCTCTTGGCAGCAGCAGCAACAACATCTTTCTCTTGTCCTTTGGCAGCAGTCTCCTTCCCCTTTGACTTGGTTCTTTCTTTTGGTTTCTTTCCCTCGCTCACAGCCTTCTTTTTCTCCCCCTTTTTCGATTTAGATGTCAAGGGGGCACGTGCGGACAATGCACCAATAACCTCTTTGTAGTAACGGCGCTGATCGGCCAACTTCTTTTCCAAACCAGTGAGAATAGCCACTTGTTGGTTAAGGAATCCACGGAGCTGTGAAGGTACATCAGAGGCTTTGACAACAGAGGGAATACGGGGAAAGGTCTTGACCCCAACCAGTTCAAGCGGTTTCTGAGATGGAGAAAGTTCATCACCCACACGTGGATCCATCTTGATCCCTACTTTCATCAGAATTGCATAGAATGTAGAAGGAAAAGGCAGAAACTTGTGGGGCTTGGATACTTCAGCAAATTATTGTGCCCAAGTCGAACGGAGAGCCACATAGAATACGAAAGATGACCCTTGCTTGTATAGGCGTCACAAATTGTTTGTGCGAGGTGGGAGTCCCGTTCAAGGAGCCAATTTTCTGTAGAGCATTAGGTTGAGGTGTGAGACTCTTCACAAACAAACCAGGGTTCCACCACTTGCTCAATTTCCCCCTGTTAACGTGGCTGCAACAACTTCATCTAGGTCATCAGTCAGAGGTGGCATAAACAGAGAAGAATTTTCAGCCAATCCCAGAACAGAGTTGATCATAGAAGGAGAGAACACAACAATGCTATTACGAATGAACACTTTATGAAACTTCAGGGACTTGGGATCAGACACAGATGAAGACAAGTTTGAGTAAAACTCAGCAATCAATTTGGGACAATACTTTCTCACGTTCAACACAGAAATTTCAAGGTCGACTTTCCTCAACAATTCAACCAATCCAAGTTTTTCAAAATG